GTCATTGACAGTAAAATAACCACAGAAAATAAATGTGAAATGTTTAGCAGTTCAAATTCTGTGACCAATAATAATAAAAAAAAAAGGGCACAGCTAATCCACTCCCTGACACCTCCTGTTGACAACACTCCATGTCATGGCAATGTGCAACTCACGAACACCTATATCCTGCATACACCAAACATAATGGGAGGAGGCCTTAAAATTCAGAAACTTAGAATGGTCAATATAGAATCCAGCTTAAGATGGCTCATTTTTTATGTTAAGTGCACCTTGCTTTAGAGGGCATTTCATCGCAATTGAAAGGATGCCCTTCATGATGAAGTTCTACTATAGTTCATAAGCCAAGTTAATGAAACTTTTAGCATGCTTTAATCAAAATTTTTATGTATACAAGGAGTTGCATGGAATACACAGTTCATATAGAGAACACATAAAAATTGAGAACAACGAACTTGGCAAGTTTAAAATCAACTTCTATAGAGAAGAGCTTGGAAAACTTTATAAAAGAAGCAAGTTTTGAGCAACCTGTTCTACACTACTTAACCTTCTCGCTATAGGTGGTAAAGATGCATGTCATAACTTTTTTAAAGTTACATTAAAAAATTAATTAAACTACTTTCTTGCCATGGTATACAAAAAATAAACTTGACATAAAAACTTAGATAATAATTCAAATTTTAATATTAAGTTCTTAATTTGATAATATTTAAAAAACCCTCAACCTTGCCCTAGTATGAGAATTGTGACATTTCCTCTACAGGCATTCTCTCTTCTCTTATTTACCATTCCTCCCAAGAAGTACAAAATTTAATGCAAGTTACTCATTATAATAGTTATTACTCAGGCAAAATATAATGTTTATAGCCATCCATCTTATTTGGTTACAGATCAATAAAATCAAAAATAAGACCCTTCTTGTTATGCCCACTGTCACATCCTCTCTTTCTCAAATTCCAAATAGTTCTCTCTAACATTTAAATACTGTATTATTGATAACAAACAAAAAAAAATGATTTAATTTATCAAATAACGTATTTTGTTATTTTCTGTACACAGAATTGTTTATCTCGCTTCTAGTTCAAACTATATTTTCACAAGAAACATATCAATGAGCTTTGCTGAATTTTTCACAGCTCTTATTGCATAGTTAGAAATCCAGAAAAATTACGAGGTATCAGATATCATCTGCTTTTTGAGTGTCATTATTCTGTATT